AATAACAAACAGCTATTAAATAACGAGCAGCTAATAAATATCAAGCAGCTGTTAATAACAAGCAGCTAATAAATATGAAGCAGCTGTTAATATAAAGCAGCTGTTAATAACAAACAGCTATTAAATAACGAGCAGCTAATGAATACCAAGCAGCTAATAAATATGAAGCAGCTGTTGATATCAAGCCGCTACTAAATACCAAGCAGCTAATAAATATCAAGCAGCTGTTAATAACAAGCAGCTATTAAATACCAAGCCGCTACTAAATACCAAGCAGCTGTTAAATACCAAGCAGCTGTTAATACCAAGCAGCTATTAAATACCAAGCCGCTACTAAATACCAAGCAGCTAATAAATATCAAGCAGCTAATAAATATCAAGCAGCTAATAAATATCAAGCAGCTGTTAATAACAAGCAGCTATTAAATACCAAGCCGCTACTAAATACCAAGCAGCTAATAAATATCAAGCAGCTAATAAATATCAAGCAGCTGTTAATAAGAAGCAGCTATTAATATAAAGCAGCTATTAATATAAAGCAGCTATCAAATACCAAGCAGCTATCAAATACCAAGCAGCTATTAATATAAAGCAGTTATTAAATACCAAGCAGCACAGAGAAACCCCAGTACAAAGACAAGGATACAAGCAAGCAGGAGCCTGCGCAAGCTGCCCGGCCCACCCTCCTTGGCATGGACAAGGAAGCAGCAAGTCGCAAGCTGCGGCAGGAATGGCGCTTTCGCAGACGGCCGAGAGTAGTTTCCGGCACACAGCGCGCCCTCCTGCGTCCGCGCGAACAACCGACCGCCGCCCGGCGCGCTGGGTGCAGGTGCGCCTTAAGCCCCCGTGCCTCGCGACAGAACGAGCAACATCGCACCAGCGTCTTTCATCTCGCCCAAAGCAAGGTCAATTCTATCCTCTGTGTTTTGCCTCCATGACCAGTGTATGTATTCCCGACATTGCGGGGCCGGCATTACGCCCATGGCTCTTCTAAATCCAAGCTCTATTTGCACAGTTCTCTTTTCGAGCCCCGGCGCCAGCGCAGTTGCGGGTCCATGACTGGGACCCATGATTTAGGCCCAGGTTTCGGCCCCAGGTTTCGGCCCGCCGGCGTTTTGTCCCCCGCCCCGGCTTCCCCTCTTTTCTACTAACATGGCCAGGACCGCACGCCACAGAAGCACGAGCCCAGCGGCTCCGCGGCCAACAAAAACGACGTGGCGCAGCAGAACCAGCGGCGCCAAGCAGCGCAGCCCACGGCCCCTGTGGGCAATGGTGGCACAAACAGCGATGGGATGGACGGGCCTGGTGGTTACAAAAACAAAGCTAGCGATACGAAAAACAGAAACCGTGATCGCAGAGACACAAACAGCGGCGGCAAGGACAGCGGCGGAAAGCAAGAAAACAGCGGCGGAAAGCAAGAAAACAGCGGCGGAAAGCAAGAAAACAGCGGCGGAAAGCAAGAAAACAGCGGCGGAAAGCAAGAAAACAGCGGCCGAAAGGGCACAAACACGCGGGCGCTGCAGGACGACGAACAGCTCCAGAAAAGCAGGCCCACGTTCTCGTGGAAGCCCATTGGCGCGTGGGACATGGACCCCACCGCCGACAAGGAGCACGCGTTGCGCGTGACCAAGGACATCGAGAACTACGTGATCGACCACTTCTACGGCGACTGGTTCTGGAACACGGTGTTACCCGTGGGCGTTTCTTTTTTCGCGTACGCGCTAGCCCGCGGCGGGCTCAGCGTGTTGTGGTTGCCCGTGGTGCTCATGTGTGCGTTTTCCGTGTACCGTGCCGAGTTCCGGCGCTTCAACAGGGACATCCGCGACGACATGCAGCGCGTGCACGCGGCCAACCGCTTGGACGACGACTTGGAAACCATGGAGTGGATGAACGCGTTCATGGCCAAGTTCTGGGTCATCTACATGCCCGCGCTCTCGGAGATGGTGTTGTTCCAGGCCAACGACGTGTTGAAGGACCAGGCGCCCGGCTTTGGCATCGAGGCCATTTCGCTCGACGAGTTCACGTTGGGGTCCAAGGCGCCGCGCGTGGACTCCATCCGGCTGTACACGCGCAAGGGCAAGGACCACATCGAGATGGACTGGGCGTTCTCGTTCACGCCCAACGACACGGACGACATGACCAAGAACGAGATGCGCCGCAAGGTCAGCCCCAAGGTGGCGTTGGGCGTGACCGTCGGCAAGGCGTTCATCCTGAAGAGCTTGCCCATCTTGGTGGAGGACATGTCGTTCACGGGCCGCATGAACATCAAGTTGAAGTTGATCGACAGCTTCCCGCACGTCAAGTTGGTGGCCGTGCAGTTCCTCGAGCCGCCCGTGATCGACTACGCGTTGAAGCCCGTGGGCGGCGACACCTTCGGCATCGACATCATGTCCTTGATCCCCGGCTTGGCGTCGTTCGTCAACGGGCTCATCCACCTGAACTTGCGGCCCATGTTGTACGCGCCCAACTCGCTCGACATCGACGTGGAGGAGCTCATGGCGCAGCAGTCCAACGACTCCGTGGGCGTGTTGGCCGTGCGCGTCAAGCGCATCGTGGACTTGAGGCGGGCGACGGGGCTGGCCGACGACGTGTTCCACCCCTACGTGCAGTTGACGCTCTCCAACAACAGCAAGGTGTGCGAGCGCACCGCAGTCAAGAAGAACACCGCGTGCCCGGTGTACTTGGAGACCAAGTACGTGTTGGTCAACGCGTTAGACGGCAACCACTTGTTGTTCAACGTGTTCCACTTGCTCGCGGACAAGTGCGAGGACCAGCCGCTCGGCATCGTCGACGTGCCGTTGGCGGGGCTCCTCCAGGACGAGGTGCAGGAGGGCGTGTCCAAGAACATCGTGGAGTCCGGCAAGGTGGTGGGCCGCCTCGAGTTCGACTTGCGCTGGCACGCCGCATTGCCCCCGCAGGTCTTGGACGACGGCACGCGCGAGGAGAACATCGACCTGGAGACCGGCATCATGAAGCTCTCGGTGTTTGGCGCCACGCACTTGGACCTCTCGCAGTCCGTGATCGGCATCTTGAACCCGTACGCGGAGGTCTACGTCAACCACGAGTTGATCAAGACCTCGCGGGGCTTGAAGAAGACCAACGAGCCGGACTTCGGCGTGACCTTCGAGGCGCTCGTCACCCAGCAGTCCCAGACCCTGGTGCAGGTCATTGTCAAGGACTTGGCCGAGGACAACGTGGTGGGCCGCTTGGACACCAACTTGCAGGACTTGGTCTTCGAGTCGTCGCGCGGCCAGCAGTGGATCACCGCGCCGCCGGTGGTGCCGGGCGGGGTCCCCGCACACTTCCGCATCGGCGCCAAGTGGAAGGCCATTTCCTTGCTGAACGAGCTGACGCGGCTCCACACCGGCGCGCCCATCGGCGGCTTGCGCTTGCACGTGCGCCTGTGCAGTGGCTTGATCAACCTCGAGTCTGTGGGCGACGTGGACCCCTACGTGCGCGTGGTGCAGAGCGGCAAGCTCAAGGCCAAGACGCCGGTCGTGGCCAACACGTCCGACCCCTACTTCAACCAGGTGTTTTTCTTGCCGGTCGCCAACGAGCACCAGCACATCTTGTTGGACATCATGGACGCGGAGGCCGAGGGCAAGGACCGCCCGTTGGGCTCCTGCGCCGTGTCCGTCAAGAACTTCTTGAAGAAAAACGACCAGGGCTACTACTTGGGCTACGACGGCGCCAACGAGGTCATCGAGCAGCCCGTGCTCTACAACGGCCGCGGCCACGGGTCCATGGCCTACTCCGTGTCGTTCGTGCCCACGCTCCCGGTGTACACGCGTGCGCAGTTGGAGAACCTCGCGGAGCTCGAGCGGCTCAAGGCCGAGCAGCAGCGGGAGGAGGAAGCCCGGGCGCTGCGCGACAAGAAGTTGATCACGGACCACCCGGACGACTACGAGTGGGTGGACATGCAGGAGGACCAGCTTCCGGAGCCGCCCAAGATCCAGATGCCTGTGGAAAAGGCCATCAAGTACCGCGCCGGCACCATCACCGTGCGCATCTTGTCGGGCACCTTCGCCAAGCCCGACTACTACGTGCACACGTTGTTCGACGACCACGCGTTCCCCTCGCACGTGACGCCCCGGATCGAGACCCGCCAGTTGACCGTGGCCACCGACGCCGAGGCGTTCATCCGCGACTTGCCCAACCTGAACTTGATCTTCCGCGTGTCCAAGAAGCGCGAGGTCGAAGAGGCCAAGGACGTGGTGGCCGAGAAGTCGTTTGCCACCATCAGCGTTCTCGAGCGGGCCTACCACAAGCCCATGACGTTGCGCATCGACGAGAAGAACTCCTTGTCCGTGCAGGTGGAGTTCGCGCCTTCTGCCGTCAAGTTGCCGCCGTTGGACACCGTGTTGGATGTCGGCCTCCTCACCTTAGATATCTTGGCCGGCGAGAACTTGCCCTCCGCTGACAGCAACGGCAAGTCTGACCCGTTCGTGGTGGTCAAGTTGGACGGCGTCGAGATCCACCGCACCGACAAGAGGCGCCGCACGCTCGACCCGCTCTGGAACGATGCCATCGAGTTCCCCATGTTGTCGCGGTCGCGCCAGCGGCTTATGTTCGAGGTGTACGATTGGGACTTGACGCACGAGGACAAGTTGTTGGGCCGCGCCAACGCGGATCTTTCGACCGTGACGCCCAACAGCTCCACGCCATTCAAGTTGGCCTTGGACACGCAGGGCGTGTTGAGCTTGCGGGCCACGTTCAGGCCCGAGTACGTCCGCCCGGCCTTGTCGTCGAGGGGCGGCTTGCCGATCGACCTCCATGACATTGCCAGCGCTCCATTGAAGATTGTGGGCGGCGGTGCGGGGATCGCCACCAACGTCGTGGGCAGCGGTGCAGGCATGATCTCCGACGGCGTGGCCAAGGGCGGGCATTTCTTCAAAGGCTTCGGCCGCCTGCGCAAACGCAACGACAGCGAGCAGTCGGGAGCCCTGGACCAGCCGAAGCAGTCTATGGATCAGTCGTCCTTCCAGACAGAGACCACGCGCAACACCAGCGCCACGGCCGCCGACAGCCAAGACGACGACACAGAAATCGAGGACGGCTCCGAAAACGATGCCGAAAACGAGAAGCAGGGCAAGAAAGACAACCGGCAAGCCGCGCCTCCGCCGGGGGAGCAGATGAAACACAACCGGCCGCCCTCGCTCGACGGGGCCGTGCCCAACATGGTGCCGGAATTCTTGCCTCCGCCGCAAAAGCCAAACGAGTTCCAAGGCCATCGGCGCGGTGTCAGTACCAGCACAGACATCAGCTCGATTCACCTGGGCTCGTTTGGGCCTAACGGCATTCCGGGCAGAATCAACATTCTCACGGCCACAGGCTTCAAGTCGTCGTCTTTGGAGATCAAGACCTCGGTGGTGACGTCCTTCAAGACCAAGGATGTACACAAGACCAGGGCCACCAAGGCCGTGGACGACGTTTTCGGGTGGAACGAGACTTTCGCCTTCAAGGCGCCGGCAGATGCCATTTTGTGTTTCACCGTGCGCGAGCACCACCATTTTGGGAAGAACCGTGTTTTGGGCAGTGCCGAGCTTCGGTTGCTGGAACGCGTGGACTCGGACTCGGTGCTTGCGCTCCAGGTCAGCGGCGGCGAGTTAAAGGTCCACTTGAGATACATGAAGATCCAGTCGTGAGCGACCAGATGAATCTTGCCCAATGAAGAACCTGTTTGTGGAGCCGACATTTGATTTTTCCAGCGCCGACAGGCGAGGATTTGGATTTTTGACAGGACCAGCTATCAATTGGTCCCATGTCTTTATTCAAAGGGCTCGCTTTGATTAGTACGGGCCAATGACTTTCCCAGCTGCGGGTGCTACATGACTATGGGCTGTAGAGCTAGAGACCAATCAATTTTTTGTAATATATAAACCCTAGCAAATTTGACTTAGAACTGCAATCTTGCCGAAGGCTCGAAAGTGTGGTTCCAGCGGTGACCCGCTGAGTATGTAAGGCAGGAGAGTCTTTTGGGGAATCTGTTCTGATGTCAGCTATACAACCCAATCTACTCTTCAACATTCTGATGATATAAGAGTTGTATTCTAGAACCACATAAGCGTGCTTTTCCCAAAGGTCTACTGACTGAGCGTTATCTTTCGGTCGCCCATTCCATGATCTTCTGATTCTGGAATCCAGAGTAGCTTTATGGTCTCTCAAACTTCATACATTCTCATCATGCCATTTCGTGTTTCTTTTCGAGGTTAGTGCCTATCATTAGACAAAATGACTGCTGGAAAGTATGGGTAAGAGTCGCCTGCCTGCTCTGATCTTCTGGCGTCAGTTGACAACCCAAAAACAAGCCATCTTATTTTTCTTTCTTTTTGTTTTTCAATCTCAAGCTTTTAGATTTCATTTACCACAGCTTTCTCTTCGGCCAAAGCTTTAGAAAAGAAGGCTCTCCTTTGTTACGGGCCAAATTTGCTATAGGCTACTTCTATGCAAACCGATTGGATTTCGTACCAAACATGACCCTGGCGCTTGGGTCCGACAGCTTCATTTTCGAATGACTTCCTAGGATGGAATCTTTATCTTTTCCTGCAGTTGGGTGTCTTTTGATATCTATGACTAGTGGTTAGACCTCGATTCGTTCTTTGCTTGTTACTGGAAACAACATGCATGACTCGATCTTATGCACTACAAGAGGACCGTCAGTTCAGGACCTGGCATCCGCAATGGGTTTGAGTTATATAGATTCCTTGCGCTTGAATCGAGCAGTCAACTCAGCATTGTCTACACGCAGAGTCCTATATCGGCCGGATATCGGCTCCATGTCGGCTTTATTGCTAGCCTCATGATCAAGGGTCTGCATACGGCCGTCCGCTGATGGTCTGGGTCAGGTGCCATGATAAAAAGAGTCTTGAACCGTCCAACTAAAAATCAGTACATGCCCCAGAATATCAATTAGAATCCAGCCAGCAACGGAATCAATGATATGGGGTACAAATCAAGGTGTGACGTACAGCCAGACGCGTGGCTCTAATTGCGACGCGCAAATCAACATTGGGACACATTACCCATGATGCCAGACTTGTGGCGAGAGCCAGTTCGGATTTTAAAACGAGCCGCCACGCCACTCGGATATAAAGACCGTTTGTTCTGAAGAAATTCAGTTGATCTGTTTCACCCACTAACATAGCTCATATCATGCCGCGGGTTTATTAATCACTCTCATACTTCACCACGACTTCTCGTACACCAGCCCATTTTCCAAGCGGTTTTTTCTTCAGAATATACCCAAACCAACTATAGCCTAGGAATGCACATCCATCAAATTACCCACAGTTGAACCACAAGACATCAGGGCTTCCCCCAAAAAGCCCGCCATATGCAGTTGCCACTCGCATATATACACCCGCACGTGCTGGGCGTGACTGTTTTTTTTTCGCCGGCCCCGGTGCGACGGCAGAAAACCCACACCTCCCGCGGCATCCCCTGCACTCCCTGGCTGCGAGAAAAAAAAAATCCGTGAGAATTTTACGCACTGCTTGGAAAATAATTCATAGCTGTTTTATTCTATCCTCTCAGAACTAGACAAAAATGAGCCAGATTGTATGTTACCCCTAGATTTCAAAGGATCACAAGCTGACTGATGAATGCACAAGCATGTCCCCTATTATTGGGACCTATTCTGCTTCGTGCTTGCGCCACTGGTGTCTTTCGCCGGAACTCGAATGTATCCACTATGAACCCAGAGAACAAAGCTAAAGATATGTTGAAGGGTTTATCCAAAGCAAAAGGAAGTAAGGCTTGGAGTTGACATACATTGCCAGCGGGTAATGGAACCAGGGATGAAAAGCGTTCACAAAAAGGCGTCTCTTCCCCATGCATTCCGCACATTTCTTTTTGCTCCACCCGTCTGCGCCGATGCATGTCGCTCAAACATGTTTCAGTTCAGTTTCAGCGAAAGCGGGCGCGTCAGTAATCACCAGCATTATCCGCTTGACACTTCAAATGTTGATTGTATACTAACTCACCAGGCACCAAAGTGGTACCCATCCCCAGACTCTGCTGTCCCAAAACAGGCTAGAAAGACTGCTCGCCCTCACAAGTTGCGTGCCTCGATTGTTCCAGGTACCGTCTTGATCTTGTTGGCTGGTAGATTCAGAGGCAAGAGAGTTGTCTACTTGAAGCACTTGGAGGACAACACCTTGTTGGTCACTGGCCCATTCAAGGTCAACGGTGTTCCATTGAGAAGAGTCAACGCTCGTTACGTGATCGCCACATCCACCAAGGTTAACATCGAGTCCGTCGACGTGTCCAAGTACAACGTTGCTTACTTCGCCAGAGAGAAGACTCCTAAGTCCAAGAAGTCCGAGGCTGACTTCTTCAACGAAGAGCAACCAAAGAAAGAGATCAAGGCCGAGAGAGTCGCTGACCAAAAGTCTGTTGACGCTGCCTTGGTTGCTGAAATCAAGAAGACCCCATTGTTGAAACAATACTTGTCTGCCTCTTTCTCCTTGAAGAGCGGTGACAAGCCACACTTGTTGAAGTTCTAAATGACGCAGAGAGCTTAAACACTCATGCTACCTTCTCTCTTGTCATTTTGATCTTTGAATCAGTGTAATCCTTTCTATGTATATTTAATACACTCACGAAACAAAAGTCGTCGTAGCAGGTGCTCCTTCCTCGTAGAGGCGTTGTGATGTTCTGGCACGGAGTATTGGAGCAAACTACTGCACCCACGAGCACAAGTACTGTGTTATCTACTAGGTTCTACACATTTTTCTCGGTGATTGGAAATCGTGCATTCTAGAGTTTTGAATGGCCAACAATGTCTATACCAACCAGTAGCATATGCTTATCAGCAGATGGTATTGTTCATAGCAGGACCTAGACCTTGGTAAACGGATGTCACGTGACGGAACTGGTGGCGAGAATTTCGAGCATGTTCCAGCAAAGAGCGCGGCACGTGACGTATGGCACGTGGGAGGGCTTGGTCCCCGCCGTTCATCCGGGAAAGAGATTGGGGAATAAGAAATGGCAAATTTCGTGAGGGAGAGCTGGAGCTGTACGTATCTACCAAGAACGTATTAGACACCGTATGTCGGTATTTTTGGTACTACAGGTCATACTACACAACACAGTGAATACAGTAAGCTGGTATTTTTGGCAATACATGACATCACATAAAACATAAGCTAGTGGTGATCATAAAAGTATAGATCACAGCATTCGGAAACTAGCATCAGTTTCTGCCGATCATCCCGAAAGCACCTACTTCCTTTATGCATGTCTGTTGTCGGTGCCGTCAAATATCTTGGCGAACCCCTAATGAAATGTCGTCCAACATCCAGATATTTCCCCATTAAATTCAAGTACTATAAGTACCAGACTTATCCCCTATGTCATTCCAAACTTGTGATCATATAGGGCACGAACACGTATGATTTCGGGGGTCCCTCACAGTTATTATGCAACTTGACAGATGTCGATCCGCGAATCGACCGCCTGATTTCGCAGCCATACTTTGTTAGGCCGCCGACTGCAAAAAGTCACTTTTTCTATATAAACAGGTGTTCGCTCCACCCTTTGCAAACCCTCTTACATCACTCCCTTCTTCACGAACATACGCTCCATCATGATTGCACAAGTGATTTTTTGCTTCAGACTCATCAATTGCGTTTCGCAAATCGCCGCGCTCTGCCTTACAGGCTATTTTCTTGTCGTGCTCCTTATTGAACTCTCGGTCCAGGCAGAATCTGCCACCATGGACTTGAACGCTGTTCAAATCGAAGAATACTACTCTGGCCCCTCTAGGGCTAAGCCTGAGATTCAGACTCTTGGTGGGAACACTAATGCTGATTTCATCTCTGTTCAAATTGCTGCTGCCTCTGCTGCCTTTCATCCCGGATATTCAAAGGCCACAGAAACAGACTGCTCTACTGCCTTCTCTCCATCAAGCGACGGTAGCTTTTTGGAATTGTCCGACGGGGACACTGGTGCTTCTTCCGTTCTTTCTTTCAATTCAGACTCTAAGCTTGGCTCCTCGGCTGGTGGTATCTTTATGAAGCCAGCCGTAGTTGTAGACTGCACTGAGACTGATGAGATCAAAAGAACGCAAGGAAACTTGATCCCGGACAATAATTCTATTTTCAATGAGGAATCTAAGATCTCCAAAGTAGAAACCGCCGCTCTGCTGCCTGCCGCTAACCCAGATATTGACATGGAGTCTGGGTGGCAAGTTCAGGGGAGAAAGCGCAGAAATTGCCGCAAGAGGACTGGCACAAAAGTGGAGACAGTTTCTGGGACTTCTGGAAAGAAACTCACCAGTGAGCCAGAATCTCCTGTCTCAAAATCTCCTTTTTTTAATAACCCTTTTCTGGTTTTGGCCAACATCGATGATAACGACTACCAGGAACCACGCCCAAGCAGACCAAACAAGAAAGTTCCTGGAAAGCTCGAACTCTCTTCCCATGAAAATGTGACTCCTTCCAGCTCTCTGGCTATGGACTTGACTATGGGAAACCACGAGGTGATGAACCTGACTTTAGTGACCAATACCATGGACATGGCTAGTGAATCTATTGATGAGAAAGATCTGGGACTCAGCCAAGCAACCACTCAGATGTCGCTTCAGGAATCTATCCAAGATGTGGAAGAGGATCCACATATGGGCTCCAAACAAGTGAGAACTACCGTTGAAATGTCTGATAGTCTTGTATCTGATATATCTCATGATGGTTGGAAAGTTCAAGGCAGAAAGCGCAGAAATTCTCGGAAAAGGCCTGAACCAAGCGTCATTATGGCAACAACAACGGGCCCAAGGAAGGGTTCCTTAGGGTCGAACCCATCAATGAAAAATCCCTCCTTTAATGTGAATCCTTTCCTGGTGTTGGCCGAAATAAGCGAAGAAGATTTTCAACAAGCTACACCAAGAAGATACTTATGTCTCAAAAGCTGAGACAATTGCTGGTCACTGGATCAATGGACACCCCCGTGCTACTGATAGCCGCTTCGCTCGTAGACTGATAATTAACGGTTGAAACAGGCCGTTCTTTCTATCTCTTTCGAAATCAAAAATCAAAAAATCAAAAAAAAAAATCAAAAAAATCAGAAAAAGACCAAAAAAAATCAAAAATACATCTATGGGGTCTTTGCCTTTTCGATGTTTTCTTCATTCAAAAGATATATAGCAATAAATATAACTCTACATTTACAATTCACAGGCAAGTCTTGGTGCTGGATCACAAGCAATTTACAGTCTTTCTTATATTCATAAAGTTTGCAAGTGTTGCACCATGCATCAAACTGCAGAAAAACTTTATTGAATAAACCGCCTTCTCGCAACAAAATCATCAGTATAATCGTGGCGAATGTTTTTCTTTCAGGTTTTTGATAGTCTTCCTGTGTATGAGATTCCGTCTTCAAATTGAGCTACGGGGCAAATTTATTGATGAGAAGCTTAAATCCTTTGAGTTCAAGTAAAAATTCGCAGCTCAGGGAAACAGCACACGAAAATGCAGAGAACACTTTGGCCAAATTTAAATTGATACTTAATTACGGAATCTCTCATATTGTGGACTTGGAAGAGCATAATAAGTGAAGCAGAG